TAAAAGTAGTATGACAGACACTACATATGGTATTAGACGAGAAGCAAATAAATTTTTTATTGGAAATAAGGAAGTTGATATTGCCAATGATGATGTTACAGTTGCAAATAAAACCTACAAGGGGACAAAAGGTTTGTGGCAATTGTTAACTTTAAAAGAACCTGAGGATTATACTCCGGCTGATTTGCAAAATTATAAAGAAATGTTGGAAGCTACAAATGGACATTTAAAGAGTTACAAAGATGGTGCACCAATTTCAAGTAATAGACATACTAAATATCTTAATATAATTAAACCTCTATTTAAATGTGTTGGTGAAGGTTTGAGACAAGTGACTGGCAATAAAATAGACTATATTTATTGGGAAGATCCTAATGAGCTTGTAGATAGGTTAAGACTTCTTTGGCTAAGTCGCCAAGCCGGTAACTCAGGAGTGGATAATGAAATAGATTCCATTATTGAGGAATTGAGAGAAAGTGGAATTATTTATTAAATAAAAATATGTTTATAGATGAATTTTATCGTTTATATAATCCATATAATAAGCCTGCAGAACCCAGGGCTAGTAGTGAACCTACTTTAAATTTACAAGACGATAGTTGGAATTGTTTAAACCGTAAAACACCGTAAGAAACAGAAACTTAGCGATTTGATGGAAGGTACAGATAGTAAAGATGCTGTGAATGTTTCACAAGTTCCAAACATGGAAGCAGGCTATTGGGATTTTAATAATAAAAGGTTAGTACGTGTTAAACCTGCCATTGATGACACTGACTGTGTTACAAAAGAACAGACTATAACTTATGATAAAAAAGAAAACTGTTGGGATGCCAAAAAACAATTTATAAGAAATCTACCAATGGGGGAATATTTAGATGATATTTGTTTAATGTCACAAGCTATGTATTATGATGGATCAAAATTTGTATATGCAGGAAGAAAATTTAATTTGATGGAATACAATCCTGATTTATTAGTTGCAGACCCTACATCTTTGAGTGGATTTAAGTATATAGATAATAGACCATATATACCAGAAAACTATGTATTTAAAAGAATGGAAGATAATCTATTGATTGGGGCTAATGGTAATATATTTACAGTTAAAGGAAAGAGTGATGTTATAAAAAATGAATGAAATTGCATACGAACTTCATAAGCCTGCAAGAAAGAATTTCATTAGAAGATCTTTTAAAGTATTAGGTATAAACGAAACCGTACAAATAGATTTAATTGATATGCAAAACTATGCTAGAGAAAATTCTGGCAATAAATATATATTAACTTTAATAGATACATTTTCTAAAAAAGCTTATGCTGCTCCGCTAAAGAATAAGACAGGGTTGGTGGTTACAGAAGCCATTAAAACCATTCTACCAAAGGGGGTTAAAAACATTCAATCTGACAATGGAAAAGAATTTTTTAATCTATATTTTATCAAACTAATGAAAAAATTAAATATTAATCACTATCACACATTTTCTACAACTAAGGCTGCAATTGTGGAGAGGTTTCAGAGAACTTTAAAGAATTGGTTATATAGGGAATTTAGTGCTCAGGGGAGTTATAAATGGTTGGATTTACTTCCAAAGTTAATTCGAAAATATAATAATAAGGGGCATAGATCTATAGGTATGAAGCCTAACCAAGTGAATATTAAGAATAGTAAATATGTGCATGAGAGGTTGACTTCTAAAGTAGTGCAAGTTAAAAAGCCATGATATAAGGTAGGTGATAGTGTGACAATTTCCAAGTATAAACATGTTTTTAGTAAAGGATATACCCCGAATTGGACAGGGGAGCTATTTACAATAGTAGAAGTTAAAAATACAAAGCCTGTGAATTATATCTTGAAAGATGAAAATGGTAATATAATCAGAGGAGGATTCTATACAGAGGAGTTGTTAAAGACCAAGTATAAGGACATGTATTTAGTAGAAAAGGTAATTAGGAGAAAGGGTGATTTATTGTTTGTCAAATGGCTTGGATTCCCAAGTAGCCAGAACTCATGGGTTTCCACTAAGGATGTCCGAGGGAGCGCGCCGTGAGCCGGGAGCGCGCACGAGTTCGCGTACAAACCTCGCACTGTCAAGTTGATGATTTTGAGAATATACATGTGAGTGCATGTGGATTTGAAATAGTAATGAAGTTGTACAATGGTATTGAACATTAATATAGGAGTATAGGCCGTGGGCAGGATTTTTAGGATTGGTGGCCAAAAATGCCTACCATGTTATCCTTATGGGAAAAACGTGCCTAAAGTGAGGTCATACCGGCATATTGCCACTACTGCCCTCCAAGTAACATTCCATTTGTGGGAAGGTAAGGTTATGTTGTTTGGCGCAAAAAAAAAAGTTAGGTTAGATCACGTTGGTGTAATTTGGCGGGAATTGGTGGAAAGGTGAGGTTACCTTATTTGGCACGAAAATAAAACTAAGGTTAGACCACGTGGGTACACCTAAAGCGAGGTAAGACCACGTGGGGCACCAGGGGGCGTGCCTTAAGGGGAGGAGTGAGGTCGATATGCTGCTCTCTGATTTGTGGGCCAAAGTATAGCCCTTCCTACTATCGTGGGTAAAGTAGTGTAAGCAACTCGTGTAATTAGAATTTACGAGGAAGTTTTTTAATTCACTACATGGCATGATAAGTTTACGCAATCGTTTCGTAAACTACAATTTTAATAAACTAAAGAAGTAAATAAGGACCCTATAACAAATATTCGTGCTTATTGCACATCCGAATTTTGTATGAAGCTTTCTTCATTACGAAATGTTCGATATTGTCAGTAGTTAATATGTTGTTGATTTCTGGGATATAATAAACGAAAAATTATCGAGACACCAAACCTGTATGCCTACTTAACAGATATTTTATAGCTTGTCATGTGTCTTACGGAGTTTTAGTAAAACTATGTTGGATAAAGTTGATCACCGACATTACGAGATAATAGTTTTTACAAATAAACAAAACTCATATTCAAAATATGAGTTGTACGGCGCAGAAAAATGTGCTTTATCTATAGTAAGAATATTGAAAAATATTGAGCGAGGATTTTTCTACTCATAGATAATCCGTATTCCCAAGATTTAAGTAACACCGATAGTAAATAATAATCTAATAACTCGTGCAATAATTATATGAATTTAAGAACAAATAAACTTTATGATTATTTAAAGTAACAGTTTACTGTTAACCAGTTATGTTAATCTATATTTATAAAAGAGGAAGTTTGTATATATATATATATATATATTTGGACGTTATGAACTCTGAAACTGCTAGACAGATTGTAATGAAACTTTCAGGCATTATTAAGCATTATTCAAGGATGGTTTGTGTGAAGTTTGGTGCAGATCCCTTTCCCATGTTAACCTTATGAGTACTTATATTTAAATGGAATTAAAGAATCTTAACAGCTGGTTCAACTAAACCATTTGATTCTGTGATGTTCAATAGCATTGAAAAGTTAATAGGTTTACCAACAGGGTGCAGCACTATTATTTTCTTTTTAATTTATAACAACAGATAATTTGCAACCAAAAGGTTAGTGAGCGTAGCGAACGAACTTCAACCTGAAGGCGAGTTAGCGTAGCGAACGAGTTAAACCTGAAGGCAAGTGAGCGCAGTGAAAGAGCCCCAGCCTATAGCAAACAAACTTCAACCAGGACGCGATTGAGCGATGCGTCGAGCTCATCTTGAAAATGAACGAGCATTTGACATAAAACCACATTAGGACAGGACGACGTCTGTTGGTCCAGCTAGTAGGCTAATGTCTAAAATAGAAAATGTGGATAAGCGAAAAAACAAAATAATTTAATATTATCCGTTAATGAAGAAACCACAATAAAGTGAAGGAGCCGTTAACAGCTGAATAAGGCGAAGTTTTAATTGGAGCGAGAATGAAGTGCAGGACTTGTGAGGACTGCTTATAACGAAGGATTCTTGATACGCATTTATTTCCATGTTCTGATCTGAATTTTTAATTTCTGCTCACTTTTGAGTGGTACTTAAAAATGTATTACAACATAAATTCTTTTTACAGACATATATTTTTGTTCATAAATGTGGTAATCCTTGATTTGATTCTTTGGAAAACATTGTTAATAGTAGATGAATGCTTATTTTTTGTACTATTCCTGCCACTGAACACATAGTCACCGATAATTAGTTGACTAACCCAAATTCAAACAACTGAAGAATGGAGGAACAAGCTAGAAGTGAAGCGGAGGTTATACGTATATGTTGTTTGGCTTATTCATTAACTCCTTACCATTATCAATTCTCTTGAAATGCTCGCCAAACAATATTTCCTGCATAGTTATTCAATGATTCATATTATTTATTTTATCTTTGACTGAGTTTTAAAAAAATGGAGTTAAAACACTATGTTAACATTTACCTACGATCGTTTTTAACTAGCCTAGCTTAACATTACCGTATTGTTTACTTAGTTTACAGAACTAGTTTTTGTACAGTTTTAGTATAACTGTATTTGGTGATGGCAATTAACTTATCATCCATGAGCAACCCACCAAGGATTAAGTTATTGATCATAGCCAAAGAATAATCGTCACCACTCTAAAACATTTCACTCATATATGATTTTTCTGAAAGTTTTTTTACACTTTATTTGGAATATCTTTTTGTTGGTGGACATAGTTTATACAAATTATTTCGCAGAAACTCGGAGTTTCTGTTTGACTTTATATCACCGTTTATAAAGTATTTTATTCAATGGCTTCCTTAGCACAATCAACTGTAAAATAAGCAGCAAAGAAGGCAAGCCTCTGAGATGATTGCGTGTAAACTAGATGAGCTCACTGCTAAAATACTTAATATTTTTCCAGCAGAACATAATAATTCCAAGGGGATAACCAGTTGTGTAAGGTTTAATTCTTTTCACGTTCTTCCTCTCTACCTTGCCATCTGATGTTTTGTGTGTATCTAGTGTAGTATTGGTTTAGATTTTTAAAATTTACCTTAAGATTAGGAGATCTTACCTTCAGGAAACCGATGATTCTTGCTGTCGTCGCCTGAAACAAACAGGTTGTGTTGGATGAGTTATGCGTTGTCCAATAGAAACATGCAATTTAAATTTGAATGAAATTTTCCGCGCGAATCGACTTCCACTTGTAGCTTGTAGTGTTGCACAAGCGCTAAACACGAAAAGTTTAGGAAATCATAGCGAGGTTAGTTTTGTTCCTATCTGGATGCGGGTGATACCACCATATACCACTGAATAGCAGATATTTGCTGAATATATTAGTATTGATTATTTTATCGATACATCTAAAACAAAGAACATATTTTTTGAAAACACGTAATTTTACAAAAATTAACAAATGGCCAATGGTCCCACCGGGACCATTTATAAAGTCGAAAAATATATGTATTAGAATCCTATATAATATATGAGTAAAGTTTGAATACTTGTTACTTCGATCTCAGACTTACGGCATAACTGATGGAGTTACAACATCATCCAATTTACTTATTACCTGTTTTATAAAATCACTAGCTGGCCCGACAGACGTCGTCCTGTCCTATTGTGGTTTTATGTCACATGCTCGTTCATTTTCAAGATGAGCTCGTTCGCATGGCTCAATCACGTCCTGGTTGAAGTTCGTTCGCTACGCTCACTCACCTTTAGGTTGGAGCTCGTTCGCTGCGCTCACTTGCCTTCAGGTTAGCTCGTTCGCTATGCTAACTCGCCTCCAGGTTGAAGTTCGTTCGCTACGCTCACTCACCTTTTGGCTGCAAATTAGCTGTTCTCATAAATTAAAAAAAATATAGTGCTGCACCCTGTTGGTAAACCTATTAACTTTTTAATGCTATTGAACATCACAGAATCAAATTGTTTAGCTGCACCAGCTGTTAAGATTCTTTAATTCCATTTAAATATGAGTACTCATAAGGTTAACATGGGAAACTCCAGAGCCACTGGGGCGGAGCCCTATTGACGGATCTGCACCAAACTTCACACAAACCATCCTTGAATAATGCTTAATAATGCCTAAAAGTTTCATTACAATCTGTCGAGCGGTTTTGGAGTCCATAAAGGACAAACATACAAATATACAAATATACAAACATACAAATATACAAACATACAAACATACATTGGATTTTATATATATAGATATGTTATATATCTGGTTTTGTTATGATAACAAAGTAAATCGAAGTTATTATTGTGTGAGTGTAATCAAAGAATATTCAATTTTAACAGATTAAGAGACTCAATTAAGTGAGGAATATGGAAAGAAATGAGTTATCCCATTGAACTTTTGAACAGAAATAATTATGACACATGGAAAATGCAGATAGAAGCAATTTTAGTTAAAAATGATTTACTTGGGTATGTGTTAGGTACCATTGAAAGGCATCTAGAAGAAGGTGAAAAAATTACTGCTTGGCTAATCACTGATGCAAAAGCAAAGGCAGATATAATCCTCTCTATCAGCCCAAGCGATTTAAGCAAGTGAAAGGACGTAACACTTCAGCAGAGATATAGGAAAAATTAAAAAGCATCTATGATTCCAGTGGACCAGCAAGGAAAGCCTTTTTGTTAAAGAAGCTAATTTTGGCAAAACTGACACCTGATTATGGTGTCAGACTAACTGGACATGAATATGTTTTTTGATGTGGTGGACAAATAAAAAGGAATGGAAATCGATATTAATAAGGACCTTTTGACAATTATTCTTTTGTATTCCCTGTCAGATGAATTTGAAAACATAAAATTTGCTATTGAAACTAGAGATGCACTGCCTTCTCCTGAAACTTTAAAAATAAAAATTGTAGAAGAGTCGGAAGCGAGAAAAGAACATGGTAAGAAAGAGAGTAGTGAAGCTCTGCTAGGAAAATTTCAGAACCAGGAAGATTTTCAAAGACTCTTATAGAAATAAAACGGAATCAGTTGATTTTCCGTTTCGATGCTTTATATATAAAGCGATCGGGCATAAAGCAAAATTTTGTCCCAAAGCAAATAAAGATCAACAAAACGTAGCGATTGCTAAACTAGAAGAAGTAGGACTTAATTCTTCCGTAGAAGATGACTGTTATTTTGGAAACTTATCAATGAAAGATATACAGTAGTGTTTGTACAGTGGATGCACTTCACATATGACTCGTGTGAACAATAAAATTTACCAAGTACAAGCCTGCAAATGGAAGAAGTATATCTCTTCCAACATTTCATCAACTGATGCAGAGGGGTTGGAACAGTTAATATGAACATTTTAAATGGGAGTACAAATCTAAGCGTTAATCTTTATGACACTTTGTATGTACCAGAACTTCGAACAAACCTGATGTCTGTAGCTAAAATTACTGACCATGGGTATCAAGTTTTGTTTAAAAAAGGTGCTGCTTTGATATTAGCTCAGAATGGACAGACAAAGATCCATGCGAATAGGTTAAATGGACTTTATTACGTACAAGAGAGTAGTGAAGAAATTAATATAAGCTGTGAAAAATCAAGTCTATTGTCTTGACACCAACATTTTGGAGACTTGAACTTTGGAGACTTGAAAAGAATAATCAATTTAAATATGGTTAAAGGTATTAAAGTGAACACAAAAGAGCTTACCTATTCCACAACGCGAGGTGTGTATTCAAGGAACATTTACAAAAAGACCCTTTCCTAAAAGTGAAAGAACTCTGAAGTGCTGGACATTATTCACTCTGACATCTGTGGACCAATGAAAAGTGAGTCACATGGAAAATCTCAATATTTCATTACTTTTATTGATGATAGGTCAAGATGGGTTGAAGTTTACTTTTTGAAGAAGAAAAGTGATGCATTAGTTTTTTTTTTCAAAAAGTACAAGAACAAAGTAGAAAATTTTACAGGAAGAAAAATTTAATATCTTCAAACAGACAATGGAGGAGAGTATGTTAACAGAGAGTTCGATGGATTTCAATTGTAATGGTATTCAGAGAAGATTAACATGCAGCGGAACGCCTCAACAAAATGGAGTGGCTGAACGGATGAATCGTGCATTAAACGACATGGCAAGATGTTTGCTCATTGAAGCAAATCTTCCTCAAACGTTTTGGGCAGAAGCAGTTGCAAAAGCAGCTCATGTTAGGAATAGATGCCCATCAGATGCAATTGTATGCCAAATTGTTCATGAACTTAGCTTGTATGCCAAATTTCATTAATATCGGTTCAGGCATTTTGGTACTATAACCAATTCATAGCGACCCAGCATCCTCTTACGAGCGCCATATTGGTGAAGTCATTATGGGCGACCAAGGTCCTTAAAAATTGGGGTCTGGGCGGTTTTACATTCATGGATATATTATCTTAACCCTAAGTTGCAGGATCACTGCCAGAACTGAAATATTTTTCTGCTACCCACCCCCACTACTAAGCTGTCAGTGTCAAGTCAAGACGATGATGGAGAAGAACGAGTTAGAGACCCTGACGATTCCATGGATGGTGATGATGCATTAGTAGCTGATGAACAATATAACACGTAGTGGTTAAAGAGGCGTATCTACCAGTTTCTTGGTTAATTTTCCTCACAACTTAACATATGACACAGATTCATGATCAATTTTGTAATAATTAATATTAACTGGATTATTTTACCATAATTAATTTTTGTCATATTTCGTTTTTCATGAATAAATTAGCCTTTTTCTAATTAACTGTCGGTTGTATTGTTTTTTATGTTTTTTTCGATTCTGCATCCTAAGAAACATAGAAAACGACACCCCACTTGCTTGAGATCCCATAAATAACAATTTTCTCAAAATCACTACCCCCATAAACCCCCATAAAATGGTACTTCCACCCCCACAATCACTAGAGACTCTTCAGATTTAAAAACCTAATGGTAATAACTACGTTTCCTGCAAGTTTCATGAACGGACCAATTTTTATGTTTTCTTAGGTGAGTTTTACCTGTACTAGAATGATTTGCTCAAATAAAGAAGATGCCCATTGTATGTTAACCTGCATCCAATGAATTTACCAAATTTGAGATAAGTTTGGTCATTGTATATGTAGTGGTTTCGTTTTTGTAAATCTATATTGTTTCGGTGAGATAATATATTTTTTTTGTACAAAATTCCAATAGTCTTAGAAGTATTACCTTTTCGAACAATTTCGATATAGATGATGAATGTGTAAAATAAGTGTAAAAATGGCTATAGGTTTGTAGTTGTCGCAAAGAATGTTATCTCCTTTTGTATGAAGTGGCTTGATAATGTACGTTTTCAGGGCATCTGGAAACTGGCTACATTCAAAGGAAGCATTGATTAAATGAGCTATAGGGCTGGATACGAGGTCTGCAACTTATCTTAACAGTTTGGGTCACAGTTCATCTGTTCCTGCTGACCGTTTATTTTTCATCTCGTTTACAATTTGTTCAACTTCGGTCTTATTTGTTGGCTTAAGAAAAAGTGAATCTGGAATAGGCTTTATGTAATTCGACTTGCCTTTCTTATCAGATGGATTACTAACTGATGCAGAAATATATTAAATACGTTAGCAACTTGTTGTGGGTCTTTGACTATTTCCCCATTTTCATTAAGAAGATTGATTTATTTTGCTGTGTTAGTTTTAGTTGGAAGATTTTCTTATAGTATCCCAGATGGCTTTATTTCTATTGTCAGATTGGTTTATTCTCTCAAGGGACGCAGGATGAAAGCCACGAATGTTTATCTCTATAAGCTGGGGGGACGTAAGCCACGGCAATTAGCGAGGGTTTGAGAAGTTATAATCCTGGGAACGAAAGCCACGACGGCGGGCCAGGTAGTTGGGAGGGGCGAGGGAGAAACGGGAATCTCTTACATGAACATGTTAATTATAATATGCAGGGATGGAAACAAATATTTTGCTAAAGCTGTTTGATGAGGTTTCGATGAATTTTCAAATACAGTTGTAAGAGCTAAAAATAATGAAGGAGCAGACAAATGTAACCCCAATAACATATTCCATGTATATTGTGACTGTTACTTAGTTGATTCTTTTGCTGTTTGTTTCTTTTCCTGTTGAATCAATATCAAATACAAATTTGTA